TTCTATTCTATTCTATTCTATTCTATTCTATTCTATTCTATTCTATTCTATTCTATTCTATTCTATTCTATTCTATTCTATTCTGTTCTGTTCCGTTCCATTCCGTTCCATGCCTCCACACAGAGCCCAGGACACAGTCAGGTCTGTTCAGTCCTCGCTGGCCCCGTCCCTCCCACAGTTGGGTTCCAGGGTTGGTGCAGGCCGTGGTTATCACTGAGCCGCGCTGTGTCGGGGCGGTGGTTTGGGGAAGGTGCTGGGGGTGAGGCGCATGCGCCGCAGAGCTGGCGCCTTCGCCCGGTGTTGAAATCGAGACGGAGGGGAGGGGTGTTGGCAGAGCCACGCAGGAGCCCGGCGCCAGCACACTGGGGTTCGTGCTGGGGAGCGGCGCTGCTGAGGGGGGTGAAGCCATCACCTTCAAATCTCGCATGGGCAAATGCTGCCGGGCTTGGTTGTCTGGGCAGCAGCGCGGAGCTGCGGGGTGGTCTTGCAGAAGAAGTAAGTTCATCGCCAGGTTGGTGCCTCCAGCTGGGCTCTGTCCCGCCGGTTTCTCACCTCCCTGCTGCCTTTCACCGCCGACATTGTGCCGAGGACATTGCAGCTGCCGGGTCTGTGTCCCAAAGAGTTCAGATTAAAACGCAGAGGGCTCGGGGTGGAAGCCGTGAGCTGGGGTGAAGGCTGGGGTGCTGTAACCTGAGCGTGTGTTTTAGCTGGCTTGCAGACTTGCTGAATTCCCCTCTGCAGATACTCTGTTTAGTGTAAATAGAGCTGCGGGACTCAGCGTCGATGGGAGAGGAAGAAAGAGTTGCTGTCCTCACCCAAGCCACTCTTCCGCTCCGTCCTGCCTCCCCAGACGCTGCGAGCGCTCGCTGCAAGCGTTGAATTGTTGAATGGGTTGGAAGGGACCTTCAAAGATCATCTCCTTGACGTCTTTCTCTCTCTCTCTCTGTTTGTTCTCCTTCAGGCTGGAATGGGTGGAAATCATCGAGCCTCGAACCCGGGAGCGCATGTACGCCAACCTCATCACGGGGGAGTGCGTGTGGGACCCCCCCGCTGGGGTGCGGATCAAACGCACGAATGAAAACCAGTGGTGGGAGCTCTTCGACCCCAACACCTCCCGTTTCTACTACTACAATGCCACCACGCAGAGGACAGTGTGGCATCGGCCGCAGAACTGCGATATCATCCCTCTGGCCAAGCTGCAGACCCTGAAGCAGAACACTGAGTCGCCGAGGGCTTCCACGGAGAACAGCCCCGGGAGGAGCAGCAATGTCAGCAGGGAAGGCAGCACCAGCTCCTCCCTGGAGCAGGAGCTGGAGGGCAGCGAGAAGGTGCAGGAGCAGAGGTCGAGCCGTCAGTCAACCCAGTACGCCGTAGTGAAAGAAGAAACAGAAAGGTAAAAGCAAAGCTGGCTCTGCCGGCGCAGCACAGGCGCCTGCAACTGAGCTCGGTGATGGGTTGGTGCAAGAAAATTGCGTGTCTGGACACCCTGGTAGTGCTGTGGAAGAGCAGAGAGCAGAGCCCCGGTCCTGCAGCTCTTTCTCTCTCTTGTGCGGAGATGTCAGTTGGAAGATTGACATTTGGAACTGTCAGTGCTGGGTTAACAGTTGGACTAGAGGATCTTCAGGGTCCTTTTGAACCTAGTAGATTCTGTGATTCTGTGATATTTTATGGATGGCTACTCTAGATTGCCCATGGGTCTCTGCACCAAGTTTTAGAGAGGTGGTTTGCTCCTCCATAAAGCAAATCACTTCGAGGAGGAAGAGGTAAAAGCGTTTCTAAAAGGTGTTTCTCCTCGTTATGGGCAACTTTGATGTTCCCTTGGGAAAGATATATTAGAGATTCATTTCTTCTCCTCTGCAACACAAGGTTTTAGAGTGGTGTGGTTTTAAATGATTTCCCTGGATAAAGTCTCCCTAACACGGCACCATGATTCGTGCTGCAACCATGGGTTGTCCCAGTGGTCTTTGGAGCTCCTAGAAGAGCC